TGCAGCGGCAGCACCTGGGCCCAGGCTCTTCCCGGGCCTTGCTCCAAACCTCCTGAAGCAGAAACTGGGGGCCCCAGACTCTGTTTGAACCAGCCCCTGGGTGACTCTGATGCACGATGGTGTTTGAGAGCCACTTTCTCGGTGTCCTCACAACTCCTTGAGGATTGTGCCCCCATTCGACAGATGAGAAAGTTAATCCGGAAGGATGTTGAGCAAGGTCCCACCGTGCTGTTTATCCACTCGTTAAACATTAGCAAGCATCGATACATTAGGTGCACTTTCTTGCACTGGCTTGTTTAATCCTCACACAGCCCAGTGGGGAGGCTGTTTTGATCTCCATTTCACAGATGAGGCCACTGAAGCCCAGGGACATTAGGGGACTCCTCCAAGGTCACACAGCTGCTTAGCTCTGCGGTTGCAGCTCAAACCAGGTCTGTGCACTCTTGCTGAGGGCTTTCTGTGCTACCCACCCTGCCTCTGACCCTCATGCTGCCTCTCTGTTCCCAGATGTGTGCTTCTCCCCAGCCACCTGGCAGCTTCTGTCCTCTGGGAGGCCTTGTCTGCCCCCACCCCTAAGACTGCAGCTGCAGTTCAGAATGTGGGCCGAGCCTGTCTTTCCACAGCACACATCATGCCCACTTCAGTGGTTTCCCCTCTTATTCCCTCAGTGTCCCTGACAGGAGACGCTTTAACTGAACTGCACCCCTGGGCAGAGTGCCCCGAAGGGAGCAGTGGGTAGGAGAAGCAGTGCTGCCAGGGCGTGGGCGACTTCTGCCAGGGCCACAGCTTTGCCTGCCATCCCTTAGTTTGGGCTGAATTTCTTTGGGGGCAATTGTTTTTCCCCCACGTCCCTATATGAAAAAATGCCCTCTGAAGATTTTTTCCTGTAGGGGGACAGAGCACAAAGAACTTTCTTTTTCAGGTTTTCATGGAGCCTGACAAGTTCCAAGTCATAAGTCCCAGCCGTCCCTGAATGTCCCGGGTGACAGGCTGTTCTGGTCTAGTCACTAAAAGGCCTTCTCCTCTGTGATGCTCTCCCTGCATCCTCTCGGTTGGGGTGGTACTGGCTCCTCTGGGATACAGGGATGCTGAGCCTGCTGTCGTAGGAGGAGCCTTCTCCGTTTCTGGTGGGGTTGCCTGGTTGTTTGTCGCTCTGTCTCTGCACTTGACCCTGTGGGACGGGGACTGTGTAATTTACCTGTGTTTCCTCCGAGCCAGCACAGTGCCTGGCACAACAGCAACTCCGAAAACATTGATGTCATGAATCCTTCCTGCAGGTTCTAAAATAGAGGTCATCACTGACCCAGTTCACAGCTCTAGCACTACGTTACCTCTTTGTTCAGGTGCAGCTTGCAGAGTTTCACAGTGTACTGGGCACCGTGCCAAGGATTAAAGGCAATGAGTGGAAGCCTTAAGGGTTTCTTTAGAAAGAGTTTTTGTGGTCCACGAGTCTTAAGAGCTTTGTAAATCTCCTGAAAACTTTGAGCAACTTCCAGTCCTGCAAGCTCCATTCATGATAAGTGCCCCATACAGGTGTCCCAATTTTTTACCTCTTACATTATTTTTATTGTAGTTTTTCTGTGTTTAGATGTGTTCAGATACACAGATAATTAGCATTGAGTTTATAGTTGCCTACAGTATTCAGTATAGTAACACACTGTATAGGGCTGTGCCTAGGAGCAATAGGCCATACCATATAGCCTAGGTGTGTAGTAGGCTGCCCCATCTAGGTGTGTGTAAATACATTCTGATACACAATGAAATCACCTAATGATGCATTTCTCAGAACGGAACCCCATTGACGTATGACTGTAATTTCAAGTATGGAGAGGAAAGCTTAGTGATGGGGCCAGTGGTCCCAGAATCTGAAATTCATACCCCGTCCTTTGGTGGGAGGAATGTCCTCTGAGTAGTCTTGACCATCTTTAATCTACCACACCAAGAAACTTAGAAACCTGGACTTCATAGCTTCAGTACCCAAAGTCATCATGACAAGACTGTTTTTGTGACCCCTGCTCTTTCAAGGAACATTTACCCCTGTTCCCTCCTCTTTCCACACCCCGCAACCCCTACCCCACTCCCGTGGTTCACTTCTGGACCACCCAAAACCCTTCCAAGAGCATATTCAGTGACACTCTGATTTTCTGCTTTCCTGGATAGCAGGGCCCTCCCGCTATGGCTCCAGATGATAAATTTATTCATGGTGGCAGGTGTATCCGATGAAACTAAAGAGATTGGAAAATTATGTAAAATGTTTGAGAATGTGCGCGCTTGTGCTTACATTTAATGGGCCCATTTAAAAAAGTCCCTGAACCCTGAAGCCAAGACAAAGTTTGATATCTGGGAGGCTGTATGTTTAAATATTTGTGATTCAGAAGAGCCTGATTCAGCATGTTCTTCCCCATCCTCATCCCCTTCCCGGTTATGTTTCCCATGTGCAGGCATTTTCCTATTCATTTCCGTCATGATTTAAATGGTGACGGTTGAATCCGCATTACAATCTTTCATCCTGAGTCTTTTGCACATATTATCCAGAGATAAGCAGAGGTGCCTTCCTTTTACAGGTGGAGAAATTAAGATATGCATAAACCCAGAGGGATCTGAGCTCTCCCCTCTTTCCCCCCCTCACCCCTTTTCTTCCTCCTAACGTAGGGTTTCCTAACAGTGGTACTCTTGTTCTTTGTGGTGGGGCTGTCTTGTGCACGGTAGCGTGGTTGGCAGCATCCCTGGCCTCTACCCACTAGATGCTGGTAGCATCATCCCCGCCAATCCCCACCAGCAGTGACCATCAAGAATGCCTCCAGACACAGACACATACCCTGAGGGTTGTTGGGGAGGGAGGTGAGTTGTCCCCTCTTGGCAACCACTGCCTTCCTGCAGAGTGTTGGAAGATCTTGAACACCAGAGATGGTGAATTAATTGGTCTGAGGTGGAGCTGGGGCACAGAGTATATTTTTAAAATCTTTTGAGTATTTCTGAACCCCCCAGTGTTAAGAATCTCTGTCCCCAGGTTTGAATTCCAGGTCTGTAAGCCCAAGTTTCCTGATCTGTGATACTGAAATGATAATGCCACCCAGTCTCATACAACTGTGAGACCCGAGTCTCATAATCCATGCAAAACATGAAGCACAGGGCCTGGAACGGAGTAATTTGCTCAGTACATATTAGCTCTTGTCGTGCTGCTTTTTCCTCTCTCGCATCTCCCCTCCTCTTTCTTGGTACCAGGTACAAGGGCAGAGGGGAGGCTGCGGCGCCCAGCCAGGGCTGGGGATCTGCATGTTGAGTGTGGTCGTGCGAGGGTGCTGAGGGCAACGGGAGGTGATGGTTCAGAGAGCAGCGGTGGTGGCTGCGTGGGGGTCCCGATAGACGGGGAAAGGGGCTTCCATGCAGGAAGAGGAGCAGGTGGAGTTGCTGTGAGCCTCTGAGAGTCCTGCAGGTGTGGAAAGCCCCTCGTTGTAGGATCTCTGAGAAAGACGAGGTTCTGGATGAAGTTGGGGGTCCAGCTTCTGCCACTGGGAGTAGGTGGGCAAGGTGGGGTGAAGGTCTCTGGAATTAAAGAAGCCGTGGATGTGGATTTGAAGCTGTGGGATGATTCATCCCTTACGGGTAAACTTCGCATCATGACGTCTGAAGGTGGGGTCGTGAAGAAGGCCTGGGACGCAGAGGTCATTGTCACAAAAGCCTGTATGGAAGTGACCAGGATATCAGAACTGCGTTTTGATGTGGCTGGGCAGGATAATGGCACAGGAAGCTGTGCCGTGGAAGCGAGGGCTGTGGGTAGTTCTGGAAAAGAGCAGCATCTCTCAAGTGCCCTCCCTTCAATCGAAGTGTTGGGTGCTGGAGGGAGCATCTTTGTTCCGCCATACCCTTCAGGACAGTACTCAGCTGGAATGCGTGTTAGGAGGCGGTTTCCATTCAAGGAAGGCTGCGCTTCGGTAGGAGGGACAAAATCGAGAAGTGCGAACCCTCCCTTCTTTGAGAGGCCGGATGACTCCCTGTCCGGGGTGTCTGGGCTGCCTTACAGCGGCACTTTCCGATCCCTGTCAAGTCGTGCCACCCATAGAGCATGGTAAGTGTGTGCGCGAGAGGAAGAGAGAAAAGTTACTGGCAGCCGGGGGCGGGGGGGTATAGCCACGCCTGAAGGTGCCAGCCCTGCCCTGCCCAGTAGCTTTGAGAGGGTGAAGAGAGGAGTGCCTTTGTCACCTGTAATGAGGCACAGCGCACCAAGGCAGCCTGATGAGGAAGCTGAGCCCTGGAAGATGTTTTTGCCGTGATCGGAGTGCAGCGTACCGGGCAGCGTATTCTGCTCTTGGCATTGTTCCACCATGCCACCACCTTGCAAGACACTTGTCACGGTGCTCATACTGCCGTGAGTCAGCTGACCTTGCAGCTCTCCCAGGGTCACCCTGGGCTGAAGGCTTCGTGTCTGAGGCCCATGCCCCCGACTGCTTAGACGAGGTGACCCGCGAGGTTCCCTTCGCTTCTGCTGTCTTCGGTTCGCTGAGTGCTATCCCAGATGGGGCGCGCAGGCGTTCATCGGTCCCTTCAGCCCCGTTATCGGGTTGGCCCTAACCCAAGACGTCTCGCGGGAACATGTCTCAAACTCTGCGAGCCATTGCTTCTCAGTGTGAGACCCTGGATTGTCAGTTCTTCCTCTCAGTGCACATTTCTTTCTTCTCTCTTTTACCAGTTGTCATTGTCTCCCAGCGTGGGGGCAGGGGACTCACCATTTGCCTATCTGAGCCAGTCACCATCTCTCTCGTCCCCAAAATGTAATTGAAAAGAGCCTTAATGGTTTCCAAATGATGATAGCTCCATAAACCGATTAAAAAGGCCTTAATAAAACCGTCTTGAGTTATTTCCCACAGCTGCAGACTGTGCCCTTTGTTTTCTAATGATCCCAACAAGAAATCAGTGCAATTTTTCTTTTTTGTGTGATCTGAAACATGAGGAAGGCCTTCTTCCATCTGACTGCTCACTCTGCTTTCCTTTCTCCCCAGACAATCCACGTGGCTATCGTCTGTGCCGGATACAATGCCAGCCGGGACGTCGTCACCCTGGTCAAATCCGTCCTGTTTCACAGGTAAGAACAACTTTTTGCTCTGCGGGCTGATGTCTGGCACTGACTGCCTGCCTGTCTCCTTGGGGAAGGGTTAAATTAGAGCAGAATTTTTCATAAGATCTTGGACTTCTAGCCTCTAAAATTGTGGGAAAATAAATTCCTATTGTTTAAACCACCCAGCCTGCAGTATTTTGTTACAGCAGCCCTGGCAAACTCTTGCAGTTGCTTACTGTAGTCCAACACGGCCTAGCCCATGGCTGGGCATTTCTGACTGTTCAAAAGTCCTGCCTCGCAGTAAACTGAAACTTCCCAAGCTACGGGTGCTGTCCAGTGGTCCTCGTGGCTGCCCGTGGAACCAGTCATACTGAGGGTTGGCTCCTCTTCCAGCTGGAAGTGACGATGCCTTTTGTCGTCATATCTTCTCCAAGTTAAGCTCTCGCCACTTCCTCCTACTTTCTTACGGGACTTTTTTTCTGTCCCCCCACTATGTTGATTGCCTCCAGACATACTCAGGGTAATGCCCAGCATTGAGTCCACAGTTCTGGCCAGTGCCCTGGCTCTATTCTCAGATTCTTACCACGGTTTGGATAAGCTTATGTGCAGCTGTAGCCAATAGGACAGACATGTGTTGGATGACCGAGTCAGGATCCAGGAGGCTTTCAATAGTCGGAACAGTCGTGAAAAGCTTAGAGTTCAGTTGAGCAGAGATCAGTGCCAAGTGCTACACCTGAATCCAACTGTCAGTGGCTTAAGCAGAGGTGGGAGGAAAGGTGGACACCCCAAGACCTAACAGCCCTGCAAGGAACTGGGATTCATCCTCACTCCCACCTTCCTCTCAGTCTCCCACCAGCCTGTCTGTAGTCAACGCCCCGCGATTCTCCCTCTTGGGTAGTTTTCACTTCCAGCCCTTTCTCTCTGTCCCCACTGTGACCGCTGCAGTTCAGATCTACCTGTTCTCTCCCCTACATGTGCCCTTCCTGCCTCCCTGGTTTTCACTCTTCAGATCCCTCCTTTCTAATTCAAGAACAACATTTCAGACAGGCAGATCTCATTTCTTAAAACCTTTCCATGCTTCTCCTTGCCAAGGGGTTACCGTGGCCCACGGACCACAGGGTCTGAGGTCGTCGTCCATAGGACTTCTCTCTCCTTTCTTTGCTCCGACTTCATGCTCCAGCAGCTCTGACCCGCTTGTGGCACCCCACCCTCTCCACAGTGTGTCCTGCCTGTCACGGCCCATCACGCGGCTCTATCTGCCCATTTCCTCCTCCTTTCTGCCTTCTCCCCACCCCGAAACTGGCAAATTCCTTTGTCCCCTTTAACACTTTGCGTAGGCTGCATTTCTAACAGGAAGCCCACCTGTAACCTTCAGTCTGGGTTGGGGCTTCTCATCTACAGCCTACAATACTCTGTTCATCTTTCTATGATTAGATTTAGTACATTATATTTTACTTACCTATTCATGATTTATTTTCTGTAGTAGAATGTGGGCCTTCTGGGTTGGAACCCATGCTGTATTTTTCTACATCCCTTATATCTTAGCAAAGTACCTGTCATGTATCATATACTCAATAAATGTTTACATGTTTAACAAGTCAATCTGGGGGAGTCCGTCAATAAAGAATCTGAGATATTTATTCAATCGGTTAACTAATACATCTAACCCAGACTTAGTTCAGTTTCAATTATGCCGTAATATAGCTGAGTGATTTTCAGAAGGTCATTTTGACTCTTTAGACTTTAGTTCCTATATTAGTTAGCTTTTGCTGTGAATCAATTCACCCCAAAACTTATTTGGTCTAAAACAACAATTTATTTATTAGCTTGTTTAATTATTGTTTAATAATAAACAATTTATTATGTAGCTTGTTTTTTTCTACTGAACTCACCTGTGTGTTCTGCTGCTGGCCCCTTATGTGCCTGGAGTGAGCTGGCAGGTGAGCCAGGCACAGACCCACTGCCCTCCTGGAGCAGGGAAGGGGACACGGGAGAAGCGAGCAGCAACCGAGTGTATCACAGTACCGGTTAGTGATGGGGCTGTCCGCTCTTCCTTGTGGCTCTGTCCAGTTGCAGTTGTGATGTCAGTCGTACGTTGAAGGAGGAAATGGAAATGCCAAATAAAGACTGGCCACATGGGGCTCCACCCAGTGTCTTCTGACTTGAGGTGGGAGACCTTTTCCACACCACCACAGCTTTTGTGTAGTGCCGAAGACACCGTTTGTCTCTGCAGCCTTCGTCTGCGACTTGAAACCAGGCATCTTGTAGGCCAGGCATTGAGTTAGCTGAGTGGTTCTCAGCCTTTTATGTATGCACTCCTTGCCTCCATTAAAGAACTCAGGTCCCTCCCTGATAGAAACAAAAAGCCTTCTTTTTAGAAAGGGGTAATTGCATGATTATAAATACTCAATTATGCTATTTTTCAGTTATGGCGAATTTTGAGGTCATAAAAACTTCTGGTGTTGTTACGTATAAATTTTATTCCTGTTGCTTTAGCTACAAATCAAATAAGGTAATAGTTGTTGAAATTGTAAGAATCCTATTGAGTATAAACTTTTACTCCTACAGTAACTGTGCTGCAGCACAAAGATGTTAAATTTAAAAATAGCAATAATATTCTTATCAGCTGCTGATGGCGTGCCATACTTTCACGGAGCCATGGGGATTTGAGAAGAAAGCAAAGTCTTAACATGTGTAATGTAAATTCTTCTTCCCATGTCAATGACTGCTTGATCGTCTTGGACCAAAGACCACTAACCTCCCTCCCATCCCTGAAATTATGCAAATGGAATGATTCTGCGAATTGATACACTGGTGATAACAAGTTGAGATTATCAAGACCAAAGGACTTTTGAACGACTTTCAGCTTAGAAAGTCCAGCTATAAATAGCTTCAGTGCCTCCCAGGCACATCAGAGGAATTAACTAATATTAATACATGATTATAAAATACTTTGACAAATGAAATATCTTTCTGATGTTAATAATAATATAATAATAGTGGTGTAGGATGCTTCTTTCAGATTTCATTGTTAATTACAGTAATTACATTTATTTTCCAGACAAAATTTTTATGTAAGGCTTACTGTGTGACATCAAATCAATTTCACATCTGCCATATGCTTGGTGACAATGAGTGTAGTATATTTCAAAAGACAGTAAAAGAGTGTTACAGGCATTCTTATACACTGATGCCAGCGCTGAAAATTGCTGTAACATGCTGGAAAGAAATTTCACAGGATGTGCCAAAGACCTTAACGCTGTGTGACTGATTTAGGGATGCTATCGTAAAAAGACGACTCTGACTATAGAAATACCTTTTAGGAAATATTGCTTATAATTATAAAATTGGGTAATACTTAAAATAAGAACGAATGACTAGACATCCTCTTATAGTAAGCCATGTACTCTGTTGCTTTTAGAAAGTATGTCATAGCATGGAGCAATGCTTATGGTATAAAATATGTGAAAATATTAAAACAGAATGCGTAATTTGTATTTCAGTATATAAACACATGCAGGCATGTATGTCACATGTACACATACAAGGTCAAAATTCAGGGGACGAAAGACTAGCAAAGAATACATAAAAAATAGAACTTTTACATATTGTGTTTGGGTGGTAGAAATAAAGGTGATCTTGTTTTATTTTTCAAAGAATATTTTTTGTTATTATGCAGCCTCTATGGGGAAGAAAAAAGGTGGATGACAAAGATATATGTAAAGTATGTGTGATAAAAATTTATTTAGTACCTAGTAGAAAATAGTACAATATATGTCTGTGTTACCTAGGTGGCAGGATATTCAGAGAAAAGTTTGGGGAATGTCTATAACTCCAATCTCATTTGCAAAGAAACTGGGCGATATTACTTCTCTCCAAGGAAACCAAGCTCTTAGGAAGCAGAGAAAAGAAATATTTATTTAGTAACTAAGTGTTTACCTCCTGGGCAGAGAGGTGGATCAGCTTGTAAAAATTTAATATTTGTTTGCTAGGATGATCTACACTCTATAGCCCTGTTGGCAGGAGGAAGCCGGTTTATTTCCCTTACTTTGCATATCAAGTAGTTTTTGTTTTTTTTAAAACTTCACTTGTGCTCCTGAAGAACATGGAGGATAAAAGAGACTATTTGTGCCTCTAGTTGTCTTCCTGCTTATTCAGGCTTAAAGTCGTCATGGAAGCAGTGTCCAGGCTGTGAAGGAGGACCATAGGCTTGGAATAAAATGAAGCAGGAGACCCAGGTTCCGGTTCTGCTCGTGTCACACGTGAGCTGGGTGACCCTAGGGCAAGTCACCGTAGGTCTTGGAGCTTCAGTGCGTTCCCCAACCTGCCACAGAGCCCCGGTTTGCATATGGAAAGATACACCGTATGTTAAACTCTTCTGTGTTTTATTCGTTTAACAAATTCTAACGCAGTTCTCACTCTGCATCGGGCTCTGTTCCAAGCGTTGCACTGATTCCTCTTTGATGCATTGATTAGTGCATTGATTCCTCATGTGCCTTCATGAGATGGGCACAGTTATTGTCACCATTATGCAGACAAGTGAGACTGAGGACCAAGGTGTCAGTCATGGCTCAAAGTCACACAGAGAGGATGGGCAGAGCTGGGTTTGAACCCAGTCACTCTAGCTTCAGAGTCTGAGCTCTTCACCAGAAAGAAGTTGCCATTTTCTGTATCATTATTTTTATTTTTAGTTTTGTTCATCATTTTGGGTGACAGTGTAGACACTGTTGTCATTACTGTGTTCTCCATAATCATTCTCATTCCCCAGGTATGAATTTTTGTGGTGCTGAGTATCGAATAAATAAAGATTGGAAAGGACTGGGCATCAGTGTTCCTAGTAAGACTTAAGAAAATAGCATGGGCAGGTAATGTCTTGGAATAGGTAAGAGATCTGTGCTATTTGGTCCTGCCCATAAATGTGAAACCAAAGAGAACTTATTTTCATAGTTCAGATGCTAAGCTTCACATGGGTTACAACATCCTGGTACAGTAGATGCTATTATCCCCACAAATGGATGAAGATACTA